CACTTACGAAGATCCACGCCCAGCCTGGCTTTCCGCCTACGCCTCCCATCTGCGCAATTCCAGCGGCGAGTAGGCCACCAAAACTACCAGCTAGAGCGGCAGCCGAAAAGAAGATTGCAGCTCGGATGCCGAACTCGGAACGTTTGTACCAGCAACTCAGGTAGTAGTTTACTCCAGGAAACAGTCCAGCCTCAGCACATCCCAGCCACCATCGCTACGCATCGTCAGCCAAATTACCCTTGATACCAGATCACCAACCGCAAAAGACTCACCGCAGTCATAAGACCAGCATAATTATGCACCAACCCCATACACGTCATACAAATCCCCCACCAGATCATGATAAGTGGTAAGAAAATACTCGGGCGTAACTTCTTCAACAGCACATTGGTCAACGGCTCAAAGACGGAGTAGCTGACGAAGAAGATGGTCAGACTGGCATTGTACTGGCCGTCAGTCATGTTGAGATCTTCTTGCAAGCCATCGACTTTGGCGTTGCCAATGTTCGTGCGATCTAGGAAGGAGATCAAGTAGAGGAAGGAGAGCCATGGAATTAGTCGGAAGTCGAGTTTGCGGAGGAGGGCTTTGTCCTGGTGGGTGGGATGTTAGTATGTGTATGGCAAGGAGCTGAGATGTGGCTTACATGCGCAGCGCGTTCCTCTTCGCTGAGTCCAGCGTCGGGATCAGGTAGGTTCTCGATCGTGTGGATATGTTTTGCCGTTTCAACATGCTCCTCGCCGATAGTCTTCTCTTCCTCGCTCGACCTATCAATCGGCCGCTCTACTCCAGAGGCCATGTTGTCGACGTAGAGACAGGGTGTGAGCTAGTAGCTGGGCAAGATGTCAAGCCTCAAACAAGCGTCTTAGTGAATCCCAGTGCCTAGAGCGCAGAAAAGGGTTCGCGCAGGAACGTCAAGCAACAAATCGCGGTCCGAAAGAATCACAAGTCAGTATTCTCAACCATGGAACTGGGAACTTGCTTGTCCGGAATTACCCCTCGATCAGCGAGCGAGACGCTGTCCCTTAAGAACGTCACCAACTGTCGAACCACTGGAGAAAGCGGGCTGGGGTATCATCAGCCCGAGGCTATTGAGCCGCCTATCATCTAGTCCACTCATGATGATCTTGTTCCGATGACGGCAGGGACTGGTGTGCATTTCTCCAGGATCCAATCCCCACCATCCACTCCCTAGCGCTTGCCGATCCCTGGCTTCACCACCAGAGAAGCTTCTCCTGCGGAGAGTCGGGGTTCAGAAGTAGGAGCGAAGTGCCGTTCATGTGAGTATCAGACTGACTATTTGATGATGCCGAAACTTTGTTTTTATCTCCTCAACGTTAACTCGTGTCCTGAAATCTGTTCGTGTTCATAGCGGTAATGTGCTGTGGTTGTGACGAAGAGGCTCGTGTCGCATGTGGCCCACTATTCACATCCCCCGCTAGTGGCTGTCTAGAAGATACGATACAGCGTCAACAGAACGTATTTGATGCCGCCTCATCCTTTGAAGCAAACGATGTGCACGTTCGTTTCAGATCTCAACGGCGTAGCATTGTCGATGCCGAGCATTGAGGCGTTGCATGCCGAGCATACAAGCGTGAAGGGCGTTGCAATGTGTGCGGGGGTCAAGATGCGGGGGACGGCTAAGCTTCCACACAAGCTTGCGCTTGTGACGTTGCTTGCTTAGACATCACCAAGTGCTTATCTGCTAGCGATACGGATATAATCGTGCGGAGTTAAACACTTCCCGGGACTGTAAGTCATAAAATGTACAGCTTCTTAATCCTTTAGGCGAGAGAAACTCGTCAGTTCCCATGGAAGAGAGACGTGGACGGATGCGCTAGAGCAGGATTTGATACCCGTTCATTCGGTGTTTCCTGCCGGACTTCCCTACTGCGGTAGTGCCGAAATCGCCAAATGCTTCAGCATGGAGCCACCACGATAGTATCCACACAGCGTCTCGTGACCAACAATGTGGATATACCGTAAATTGTTCATGATCGTTTTCCAAGGCACGCGCCCGCGTTATCATCCGGTCTGTGTGTAGCCGCGATTTCAGAAGCCTGTTTCTCACAAGTATCTTGAGCCAGCGCTCCACTCGATGCGGGCCCGCTCGGGTTGATTTTAGCCTCCACATACTCATTCCCTTCTTTCCTTTCAGGTATGAGGCCAAATAGCCCAGATCGCTTTCTTACGATGGCTAAAATGACCGCGACGATGACATTGAGCCCTGTGAACGCCAGCATAATTTGGAACTGCCTATTGTCTGGCATGGTGGTGCTAATCAGCATGTATGTCTCGTATAGCTATATTGCCAGGGAATTGAAACTTACAGCTGTTACCAAAGACAACACCAACACGATCCCTCGCCGCATCCGGTAAGTGCGCAATCAACGATGTCGAACTTTGCATTTGCCTGATTTCCTCGCGACTCAAAAAACTGGACAACCCTGTGTTCAAGTGCTCGCGATGGATTGCAGAGCAGATGGCGACGGCGACACATCCGCCAAGCGTCCGCACCATGTTCAGCGCTCCGGTACCGACAGCGATGTCCTTCTCTGGAATTGAGGTAGCGACAAGCACGAAATATGGCGGACTTGCAAGACCCAAGGCAAGACCAATGATAATTTCGTAACCGTACAGTCCAGGCCACAGGTGAGAGTAGGTCGGCAAACTACTAAGAAGTCCAATACCTACGCATACGATCGCGGTCGAGCCAATCAAAACAATCTCAACTGGTGCCTTCTTTACGGCTAGTCCAGACGCCATAGCACCAATCGGAGTCACAACGGTAGCAGGCAGCAGAAGGATACCGGCACGCTCCGCGCTTGTAAAGTTCACTCCCTGAAAGCGTTGTGGCAGCTGGACGAAGACAACGTAAAAGGCGAATCCTAAGAGAAACTGACTTCTGTCCCACTGTTAGCGGAGTCCGACTGCAGTGTTCCAGACTTACAACAGAGTCAACGCCATGGGTGCATTCCGAAGAAAGTGTACAGGAAAGACGGGGGCTTTCTGCGTTCTGGACGATATCCAATACTCATACAACCCAAAGAGTACCAGGAGAGCGATTCCAGCTACAAGTGGTCCGATGATAACACCACTGCCCCAGGTATGCGACACACCGGCTTCCTGAAGGGCGTAGATGAGAGGTATAGGCCAGCAGACAGACAAGATGCCACCATAGATGTCCAAATGGCGTATGCGCTGCAGATTCGTTCTACCGTCGTCGAATGCAGGCATCGAGAAAAACAGTATTGCCATTGCGACACCAATTACGGGGCCACTAATGCTAGTCAGCTCGCACATCTCAATAGCCGGCACCCTGCATACTTCATGAAGAATATCCATCTCCAAGTTGTCCGATCAGCGATGATTCCACCGAGTAGAGGCCCTAGCAGGTTTGCCAGAGCGAATACCGAGCTGACGATACCAGAGTAGAAGCCAATCTTCTCAGGGACAATCATCTTCATGATGGCGACGAATGTCAAGCTGTAGAGGCCAGATCCTCCAATGCCTTGGAAGGCGCGGAACACGATTAGTTGAGTCATCGTCTGCGCTCCGCCACAAGCCATGGAGAATACCAGGAAGATTGACGCGCAAAGTAAGAGGAGACTCTTGAGGCCCCAAATGTCGCTCAGCTTTGCTGTGATCATCAAGAACGCTGCACCGTTAGTCTAGTGACCAGACTCCCGAGCGAATGAGTCTTACAGTTATATGTAAGTAGATACGCGGTAATTAGCCATGCCGCCTGCTCCAGAGCGCCATAATCACTCGAAATTTTGATGAGCGCGGTCGTGACGATGGTAGTGTCCAAGGCAGATAAGAAAAGACAAAGCCATAGTCCAGCGATAACGACGTGTAACCGATTTGAGCTGATGTTCGGTACGATTGGCACAGCGGAGGGTGTGATACCGCCCGTAACCCGGCTACTGTCATTATCAACCATGATGTTGACGAGGTCGAGACACTTGTCCGTCCTCCGTCTTACTATAAAATACCAGCCACGTTTGCGGCGTAAGCACATGTGCGAAGGATGAAGCCCCTGCAGCAGATACAGGGCTCGCACGGATAGAGGTCAGCTGTAGAAGGCTGCATCCGTCCCAGTGGAATGCATGCTTCTAGGCTGCAGCGGGGTAAAAACCGCAGGCTGGAGAGCTGCTGCATTGCGATGCGCCAGACTACAGAAGGTCCACATGCCTTTGACAAGTAGGACGCCCTGTCCCTATGCTGCGGTCCTTGCGTGTCCAAAGCGCGTTCGCTTGGGGTAACGCGTGGAGGAGAAGCCGTTCTTCCGGATTTTCTCCCATTCAATACGGTACCTTCAATAACCTCTGCATCGCTTTCCATCTCGCAACTGTATGACCAACTGAAAAGCATGGGGACTGGTTTGGGTGAGTATAGTGGGTATATACAACCGCATGCATGCAGGCATCGATGCGGCTCACAGCCACTGGAAGCCGTGACGAGCGGCCGCGAAAGCTGGAAACCCCCCTATTTTCTCGTACCCCCTTTAGTCGTCCTCAGCGATTTCCTTTAGTCGCAGCGCTTTCTTTTGAACGTAAAGTGCAGGTAACGACTGTTGGTTGGTGTTCGTGGTTTCAAGCCCGCCACGCGAAACTCGCGCGCGCCTGCAGCTGTGACGTCAAACGCCGATGGGACGCGACTTCCATCCTAGCAGTACCGCGCTCTCACTTCCTTAGGTGCATTGCCCGCGTCCACATCTTCAACGAGACTTTGCTATCCTGCTCGTGTGGGGCGAAAAATGCTAATTCCATTCTCTTCTACTTTCCTTTATCGCAATGACTTCAATCTCGTTTGAAGCTGCTCTCAAGCTGCCCGACAACGACGCGTCCAATTTACGCCTCTACAAGCTCGTCTCTGCACGCGACTTCAGCAGCTCGGGTCTTCGTTCAGTCGCGCAGGACTATCTCAGTAGTTTCTGCGACCCTGGTCTTTCTGTAATCCGGCGGCGATGGATCGGCATCGCGCTCGCAGGCATGCTGGAAATGCCGGCGGTGGCCACACACATCGAGACATCGACTAAGCGTCTACGCGATCTGGGAGCCATCCTCTTAAGCGGAACTGAACAGGAGCAGATCAAGATTATTGCTGGTATCATCATACGACAGGCACTAGAACAAGGGATCGACTATAGCAGGTTCTGGTCCACGGAAAAGGTCAGACACAGCGCGCCGGATTTTCCGCTCGAAGCCGATGCGGAGTGGATGCAGAAGTTCCAGGGCTTTCTCGACATTCTGAGCGATCTGGCACTCGCGAGACCAACCAGTGAGCCCTCTGTCATGTACCTAGTCTCATTGTTCGCCACAGATGGGTTCAAATGGCGGGAGTCAAGCGCTACGTTCCCTGTCGCGCTCGTCGAGGCTGGGATGCTGACCATCATCGCGCCCGATGAGCACCTGAAAAACTGCCACTTTGTTGACATACCAGTCGAGCACATTCTGAACACGCGATCAGAACCGTCGAAACTACACAACTCACAGGCTCAGCCTACAGAGCACGAACCATGGGATCTTGTCATGACACTCACATCCGAACCCTGGAGCTACCGTCTTGATTCCACGCAACGCATAGCGACTGACCTATCGCTAATGTTCAAGCATTCGGGCGACGCATTAGAGTGGGAGAGTTGCATCAAAGCCCATCAGAAAAAACATGAGCCTCGTTCGAGAGTATCCCGAAACTTGCCTATCGATGCGAGCTCGCCTTCGATCCGAAAGTCAATCGCAAAAAGATCGCTTCGAAGTGGCTCCCAGACGCTTCGGAAAGAGCGCGTCACCTCCAAGAAACTTACCGCAGACAGTAGCGGTGCGACAGCCCTGCAACTCCCGTCACAGCATCCATCGTCGACATCGAAACGCACGTACGGCAAGGGAAAGCTACCCCGTGTGTCTCGGGCCACCAAACAAGATATCTTCAAAAAGCTCAACTCGGAAGACGAAGCTCTCGATGCGCTTATAGAAAGCAAGAGAAATGTCCGCAATACTTCTTCGGACATATCGGGTGTTGCTTCATCTCCCCGAAGAACTTTACGAAGCTCAAAGACTGCCTCGGACAAGGAGCCAGTCAAGACGAAGACTAAGGCACGCACATTGCATAACAAGAATGGAGCAGACGACGACGAAGATTTTATACCAAGTCAGACGAGGCCGAAAACAAGGACAAACCCCAAACGCAAAGCAACACCAGATCCCATGACCGATGATAACTCGAGAAAGAGATCCCGTAAAGAGCCGAACAAAGGTCCGAAGTCGACTGTGACCGGCGCAAAACAACAGGCGAAAACTCTTCCGCTGGCGAAACCATCAAAACCTCCATCATCTGTCCCTTCGTCACGACACACCTTGATCGGAGGACTTCTGGGTCTCCAAAGACCTGCCAAGATCTCCGAGAGCCCGTTCAAGAAGCCAACGTTACCGGCAAGAGTCGCTCAAACACCGTCAACTCCTACCAAACCGAGTAGAAAGCCTGTGGGAGTACCAGTGCGGCCCCAACCCCCTGTGGAAGCACGGAGATGTTCTGGAGATGATGCTTTGCACTACATGGCATCGTCACCGCCTGTGGCTGATGAGGCCGAAGAGAATGATGAGTGGCATCATGCGACTGCTGTCGAGGCCGCAATGCTCTCCAGCAACAGCAAACCTACCCCCGCGTCACCAAATGCAGAATCAACAGCGATCTCTGGTCACGCTGATTGTGAGGATATAGCATCGGAGAAGAAGACAGGAGATTGGCAGACCGCGAAAAGCGACCCCTTTGGCCGAAGATCTGCTGGGAAGAAGGCCACATCGTTCATACGCCGACTGACTGGAGAAGATTCGTCGAAGGAGGACATAGCCCCTGAGATTGACGTTTCAAACCAACGGCCTTTGCTAGTCGCTGGTTCTAGCGCCCCTGAAGCCTTACCTTCAATTGCAACGAGCCGACCATTCCTACAAAAGACGCCTTCGGGTGGGAAAGAGGCCAAGGTTGCGAGCCCTTATACGGGCACAATAGATCATCAGACACAAGATTCGAGAGATCAAGGAGGAGTGCAACAAAAAGACGACATAAAGAGACGTAACGAGCAGGCTGGCACACATTCAAAGCCCACAGCGCTATCCAAAGGGAAGACAACGACCCCAAAGATACCCGAAGATGCGGCAGAAAACGAAACGACTGTACCCACCTTGCTCTTCAACTCGCAGTTCATCGACACTACTCAGCCAACTGTTCAGGCTGACCAAGAAGCCACTGGAAGTACAAGGAACTTACTCGAAGAGACTCAGCAGACCGTGGACCAACCGCAACAACTCAACGAAGGGATCCGGCAATTGCACGATGACGGGCCTATCGAGCAGGCGTATCACGAGGACGATACTCTCATCGGTGGCGGTGAAGACAATCAGGAAGCCGACAATGACTTCTTCGACGCTTCGCCAATACACCTCCAATCCTCCCCGCCAAATTTAGGCTCTTCTAGTAGCCATAGCTCAACCTCTGCCATACGCGAGCCATTGACGGACCCACCTCTACCAACATCGCAAGCAGAAGAGATGGACTGGGAGGCGAGTCTGCAGCCGCACCAGCGCGATCTTCATGAACTGATGATAAGGACTTCCAAGCGGGTTATGCAGCACATTGTCGGTAACGAGACTAGTGTAGACGACATCGCTGAGATGTACGCGCAGGATGGCGAGCATGTACTGAGCACCCTGATCAAGCGACACGATACCGACTACGAGGATGTCTTCCAGGGTATGGAGAGCACAAAGGGAAAACTCCGGAAAGAGCTTCAGCGCGCCGCCAAGCAGATGGCCAAGGATAGAGAGAGGGTTGATGCAATTGCTTGATCTTCGTACAGTTCACGACGCAATCTTACGAAGGAGATACAAGTTTAATGGAGGGATGTACCATGCAGGACATGAGAATGTATGATAGTAGAGAAGCCTTTTCACGAGCAGTACGAACGTAACACAGTATAGCACAAGATTTTAATGAATATGCATTAGTACCTACATAGTTACCAGCACCACATATGCATACTATATCTCGCTCCACGCATTAGTCAAGGTTCCCTCAACCAGTACAAGACGCGCCATCATGTGTCGAACTCTCCCGAGAGTTGCGCTGTGAATTCTGTTCCTTACTCTTCCCCATCTCAACAATATGTCTCATAGAGATGCCACCCCACGGCAGACCCGATAGCGTCTGTCTTGCATCAATGTTCTCTGGTTCAGGCGATGCATATGCGCTTCCAGCTTGTCGCTGATTCTCAACGTCTCGCTCCGTCTCCTCTTTCTGCTCTTTTACTTTGTCGCCTGGTTCACGTTAGCGTAGAAAGAAATAGCTATTATGCTTGGTGCTACGAACGAAATCTTCTTTGGGCGAGTTTGTTTTGTATCTTGCGTCTTTCGTTGGGGTCTTTGATGTCGGACCAGTCGTTTGGTCCGGCTTCTGGAGAATCGTCGCCAGTTACGACGGATTCCCTTTTCGAGGTGGCTTGTTGAGGGCTGGGTTGTTGGTCTCGAGACATGCTTCTAGGGATGAAGTCGTAGTGGGATTAAGGAGTCTGGCGAGATGATCTTTATTGACGCGGTGCCTTCTTGAGATAGTTTCTAGAACGGTAGAGACAGTGTTGATGGAAATTTTGCGTTGGAGTGGTCGCGATTCGCAGTTGTTACATGTGTTCAAGACGGGTGTCTTGTAGAGGATGATGGGCCGGCTGGAGACGTGCTTGTTGCTGGGAAGTGGCGTATGGACGTAGAATTATAGTACAGGAACTTCATTTCCATCTGTTAGGCTGTTTCATAGTCAGCATCTCTATAGTTACGTGATTTTCAGGGATCCGTCTCTCAGCCGCAAGACGTAATGCTTGAGGAAGGAGCGCGTTGAGCGATCCACCGCACCAGCATACTCAAGCCAAGCCGATGAGAAGTGGTGGCCTCGAAGCAGTGGAGTCTTTCATTAAAATGATGACGCTGATATGAAGGGTTCATGTGCAAAAGGGCGCGGCTGAAGTTTCACCGAAGAGGCTCGCTCATGATGTTCGGTGAGTAGCTGCGCAAAGCTAACCAGTTTTGACGCTTGTCATCTTGCATTTTCTCGGCCCGCCAGTTATAATGGAGCCTTGAACATTCAATTAGTGTACAAAGGGTTCTAGGTAGAGATACTCAGGAGCAAGAAACTTCAACTACTCTTAGGCCATCGTCAGCACGCTGCAGCAAATGCCATTGGAGACTGCCATTCGCGTACCTGTACATAGTATTACGCAATATCCAGATGAAGTTAGACTTGATACTATCCAGGACCTGCCAAGTCGCAGCGGGCGCGGGATGACCGAACCGTTGTAGCCTTGCCGTTGGGCTGAGGTATCAATATCGCTCTGTCGGGTGGGCTTGCACCAATAGCGCATGTACTATCAGGCTACCTTCTTGACATTACACTCCAGCTCTTGGTCCAGAGGCTCACCGGTAATCCTTTTCGCGGGGACAGCCAATGAGACAAGAGCGTTGTTGACCGTACTGTACAGGCCAGCTTGATATACGAGATGTGCCTTGAGATTAACCTTGGGACAGAAGGCATTGGTCAATGAGTCATGTTAGAGTGGGGCATCATGAGAACAACGACAGAGTTGCCAGAAAAGCATAGACTTCTTCCTGTCGGTCAGTGATCTGGAAACCGGAGGAGCGGAATCGCCACGGTTAGAGATGGGGCAAGCAGTAGTAGTCCATGGGTGCTGTGAACAGAGATGCGGTCGGCGCAAATCTCTCTAGACCTGTTCGGGTAAGCTCAAACCGCGTACCTGCACCTCATTCGTCAGATCCTGCCAGCCACGGGTGGCTCAAGGATGTATTGACCGCTCTGTAATCTCATACACCACTGCTTGTTACTCTTGAACGCTCTTTGACGAGGAAGCGAAGTTCAAGTATAGTTTCGGTTGCACGTTTGTTCGGTGCAGCTTGCGACCTTCATCCTGCGCATACAGCCCCAACGCATGCAGAACTCGATGGCAGAGCGTCGGCTGTCTCCCGAGTCCTAGACGTATCTACAAAACAATAAAGATTTTGGGTGAATTTGCGACTTGCCAACACATGTCGCATCGCTTAAGAAAGCATAGAATGTGCTCACGAGTGACGTGAGCGGTCAAGAAGAAAGTCTGCTGCGTCAGACTATTCAACTTTCGTAGGATTAGTGCGCAGGCCTGTAGTCTTTGGCTGATACAGTTCGAAGGATTGCGGACCGATTCCAATCGTCTCCGCAACTTGACAAGAGCGGAGCTTTGGTCGGCTCGATTATGACGACAGGGCCTTTGACGAGTTCTTTGCCAATGCGGAGCGTTATAAACGGGTTACGTCCAGCGGCAGCGTGTTGCGGATGCTCGGGACGTGTCTGGTATTATTGCACTACGATCAACGTTCTGATTGTGGTTTGGAACGTTTTCGTTTCAAACTTAGTAATTAACTCGAACGAGCAACTATCGCTTGATCGATGAGAGGGATTGCGAATACATGGCCCCCAGCTCCATCCTTCACCTACGTGAGACGTTTGAGGGGCGAGGCTGAGCAGCCTTCCCCCACAGCTCGAACATGTTCACGTAAGCTGGAACGAGAATACCAAGGGTGATCGTCCTTAGTGAGGATCCGCTCGTGGGCCACGATTGGTAAAGCGTGGTGCAACACCAAGATCGATCCCTTTGGTACGGCCCGTCTGAGGTCAAGATGAGTTAGTTCATTCTCGGCTGCACAACCTTCCGGTATTTGCGCTAAGCCCTTTCCCAATTTTCTGGCTTAGCCGCCAATGGGTCAGCGTAACAATCAGATCTAAGTCAAGACTCAAGCCAAGCCCATTTTCGGGGAACGTATCACATACAGTGTCGAGCCAAAGGTCAGATGATTCCCGTTACCAGACTGCTGATGGCTTTGACATCTCCAACCTACACAGCTCATCAAATACACTCTACCAAGAGCGAGAGCCACCTTCTTCGCCGACCGTAAAGACTCGGGAGGAGCGCTGGGTCTCAGCAGTACCACTGGTAGTTGTCCTGCATGATACGATGAATCATTCGACCACTCGACATCGTCTCCATGGAAATCCCTTGCTGTTCATCCGGACAGCTGCTAGAGCCGTCAGTCAAACTCTTTCTTCTTCGCCGAGACTGCTTCCCCATGCTCTTTAGTAAATGGTCTACGATGTTGTGTTTCAGTAGTAGTCCAAATTTACCTATAATGGCATTCTTCGTAGACCATATGCAGGCAGTCACCGTCTTTGGTAGAAATCTAGGCTCCATGTGTTGTGAGGCAGCAGTATATGCCTGGCACGACTTCGAGTTCTCATTCTGAGATTGACGTTCACGATCAGCATGTAATGCTGTGAAGTGAAGTGGTCTGGCCCAATGATGGACCAGCGATGGCGATATCCTAGCTTTTCCATGTGCTATACATGTGGCGGAATAAAAGTCGATCATACAAAAGAGGAAGGTAGATAGTGAGGGCGATCCGGCGAATCTCGTCGACGGGTGTTGCTCGCAATGTAAAGTGTGGCGAGATCATCGTGTGGCGGGTGTGGCGTAGTGACAAGTGTTGCTTTTTGACAGGTGTGGGCTATCCCGGCTTGTCTGCACCGAGGCGAAATCGCATCAAGGACTGGCAACGACCATGGGCGTCAACGGTGAAGTTGGATGCGATAACCTGTTTTGCGCTGCGGGCGGGTACCCAAGCCGGACGTACCTGACGATCGATCAATACGCGGTCTTCGATGCGTGGACCCATGGTGGTCGTACCGAGCAAATAAGGCGCGGCGCACATGGCAAACAAGGTCTGGTGAGAAATGACGCATGTCACGGTGGCTGAACAGAGGGGCGCCGTTGGTAGGACGGCAACAAAGTCGAGCGCAGCAGTCTAGGCTGGCAGACGACTTCAGCCTGTAGGGCATGGATCGGCGGGCGCTGGCGGCGAGGTGTCTCGTTGGAGCAACACTCGGCTGGTTTGGTGCGTCGGCAAGAACGGGTAGGCTTGGGGAAGCAGCGAGCGGTAGAGCAGAGAGGCAGGCACGAGCAGGATGGGCTGCGCCACCACACCGGCTCAATGCTGCTCGTCGCGTCTAGCCCGACACAGGCTGGGAGCATTGGCAGGCTCAGCTCAGGTGGGCGCGCCGCCGCGGAGTCGCCATGGCAGAATCTTCCTGGAGGGATGGGAGGGAGGGCGAGCCTCGTCTCGCGGGGCGTGTGGCGTCGACGTGTCTCGTGTTGCGACGCAGTTGTTTGGAGAGGCACGTCTTGGATGTTTGGCGGTGGGTCGTTGCAGCGCAGCGTGGTTGGCCGCGGCGATACACAGCCCCAAAAGGCTTGCGTTGTTCCGTTGAAGCCGCCGCGCTGCGCTGAGGCTGCCTCTTGTCTGCTGCCGAAGTCCCAAGTCCCATCGCCGGACTGTCTGCTCGTCTCCTCCAAGTGTCTGCACCCATCGCGCGCTCCATTGCACGGCAGCCGCTCGAGACTGAAGCGCCGCCGCATCCAAGTCCCGTGACTGTCTGCCAGCGTCGCCGTCTTTGAGCGCACGCACGCCCGCACGCCAGCCTGCTTACTTAGCCCGGACTGGAACCATCATCAGCCACAAGAGTCCCCAACGGGCCTTCGTCATCGGCACCTTGACTACCAGACGACCTGCACCCTACGACCCTGCGACCGCTTAGTTGCACCACGTCCAGGATCGCGATTCTGCTCCCACGTCCGCCTGCACGTCGCACATCGTGCCGACTGAAGACCCCTCCTCCACGGCCACGCCTCATTTATCGGCTTCCTCGAGCAGCGCCTCTTCACCCGCCTGCCTCGCGCCGCCGCCGTGCTTGCGCGTCC